GGTTTGATTTCTTTGTATGTATGGATCACTTGGGTTGTTATCGACATCTGGTGAACATTTCATGTCATTAGCACCTCTAGTAATATATTTACTGAGAAAAATGGTGACGTGTTCAATACTTATTTTACCTGCTGTATGTCATAAGACAATGAAGTGAGTTAACTAATCCTAAAGCTAAATAGAATTGTTGATTCCCTAACTGTTAAAGCATATTAGTAAAACTGATCACAACGGACAAGATAGTACTTTATAAAAATTGTCGTAAAACATACTGTAAATTGATCATTCTTAAACTATGATAAAAACTGCTTGAAAAGATGGACAGCTTTCATCCAATCAGTTTTGTAGTTTTGTGCCCAAGGCCTTCAGGTGAAAATTAAAAGTACCAAAATTGCTAAGATAAATAAGAGCAGGCATAGGGGGTTGTTTTGGAAAAAAATAAACTACTTTGGAAAATGTCTTTCATTTGAGTCTGAGAAAATATGTATAACTTTTGACATTATTGCTTATGAGTGTCTGAAACAAAGCAACATGCTGGATACAACATGGTGATTGGGTTAATCCTTACTAACTATTACTGTATATAAGCACCACATTATTATGAAGAATTGAAGGAAAACATAGTCAACAACTGGGTACAACNGCTACCAGCAGTGTGTTGAACCCCCTCAGAGAATTTTCCTAGGGATGACCTCATTTTTCATAAAGAGAATAATTAATAGCTCTTCATGTGTTTTCTATGTCTTTGTGCTGTTAAGACTTCACCCACCTTCATTTTTGCTCTCCCCCACAACAACGACGAGCGCCTGACAGCCAAAGTCTCCACGCTGACAGACCGAGAGTCTCTGCTGAAGTGATGTCCTCTGTTGTGGCCCCAGAAAAACCCTCCTCCAACGCCATGGGCCCCAAAGAGGTCGGTACAGAAGTAAAATACATTTAAAAAAAAACGTGCGAGCAAAAGAATTTGAAAGTTTTTAATCTGTGACATTTTTAATCTGTGACATACTGTATATGAAATAATGAAACCATAATTTACTTGTGTACTTTTTTCATTTTATTTCTGAAAAAAAAAAGAATTAAATAGTAGAGGTGAAATAAGGAACAGGCAGGTGTCGCAAATATGAGGAGGCACCATCTACAGATGAGATTTAAGCGAAAATTATGGGTGATCAGACAAAAGTACCGTACTTATGTGTTGACATGTAAATGATTTAGATTGACATTTAGATGTACATGTTTTCACGCTCAATTCTTCTAACAAATTGCGATTATTGAATCATCCATCTGATGCTGTTTTGGATGTGATCAATCCCAAACCTCTATTCTCCAGGTGGAGTTGATCCTTGTGAAGGAACAGAACGGGGTCCAGTTCACCTCCAGCACCTTGGTAGTTCCTGCTCAGACTAACCCCAGTGGGGAGGAGGAGAGGGAGACCTGGGGGAAGAAAATCGACTTCCTTCTGTCGGTGATTGGATTTGCCGTGGACCTGGCAAACGTGTGGAGATTCCCTTACCTCTGCTACAAGAATGGAGGAGGTGAGAGGGGGGGAAGGACTGAGATCACAGCCTAAAATGTCCTTTTGGTCTGATATGTATGTATATATATATATATATATATATCCAAACAATCAATGATTTATAAAGGTAAAACAGGAAAATTAACAAGGATGCCCAAACTTTCGCGCCCCACTGTATTGTTACA